AAAAAAAAAAAAAAAAAAAGAATGAATGTGAGGAGAGAGAAGCCTGGAAGGAAGATTAGATATGCAAGAGTGAGAGAGAAACTATTCCTGAAAATGAAGAAACCTGAATAACCAGGCTGGAGGAAAAGAAAGAAAACAAGCTATTTGCCTCCATGGAGGGTGGACCCATCTCTCCAGGCCTAGAGAGATACCAGTCAGACTGACTTTCTCTCTCTCTCTCTCTTTTTTTTTTTTAATCACTATGTCACCCTTGGTAGAGTGCCGTGATGTCACAGCTCACAGCAACCTCAAACTTTTGGGCTTAAGCAATTCTCTTGCCTCAGCCTCCCAAGTAGCTGGGACTATAGGCACCTGCCACAATGTCCGGCTATTTTAAGGGAATGGAATTCCCTTAAATTTTTTATTTTTTGTTGCACTTGTCGTTGTTTAGCTGGCCCAGGCTGGGTTCGAACCTGCCACCCTCTGTGTATGTGGCCAGCGCCATAACCACTGTGCTATGGGTGCCAAGCCCAGACTGACTTTCATGCTCACTAGGGAGAAGGACTGACCATAGAGAGCCTGGATCCCTGACACGTCATCATGGTGCAACTTGAAGTAGGGCTGGTAACCAGAGTAGACAGGGGCCATGAGTGCCTGGGTATATCGGGAGTGCCCAAGCCCCAGGGCATGGCCCAGTTCATGGGCTGCAATGATGCGCAGATTCACCCCCCGGAAGGTCCCCTCTGTCCAGAGCTCATCTTCATCGAAGTGCACGCTGCCCAGCTCTGGGATGTCAGCATGGGCCAGGACCCTCCCTGGACAAAAGCAAAGGTGAACAGGAAGGATGTCAGAGCCCACCACGCTGCTTATTGTAAACTCTAATTATTCCATTCCCTTAAAATTTTCCTAGCTACATCTACTGTCTCTTGGATGCTTCCTTCCTTTCCTTTCAGATTCTCCTGTCATCACTCAGTTCTTACAGCGATGCCCACCACTCTCCCTATCTCCCCAGTTACTGGCCCAGTCCCTCAAAGGTGTGCCTAGAGTTATGGAATTTAAAGTAGGGAAGGAGGCATAAGTTTCAAAGAGGAGGCTTGATAAGTCCCAAGATATGTGACCAACTGCTCTTCCAAGGAATATTAGAAGGTGATTAGAGTGTAGGGTGAAGGTGAGCACAAGAGGCATCCTGAATATTAAGGTTCCAGAGTCACTGGCTCAAGGAGAGAAGCCATCTCAGGGGCCTGCAAGGTGAGAACAGAGAACTGTTGCCTACCAGGCCCATCAAAATTTTTGGAGCAGTATGGGCTTTTGCGGCCATGGAAGGAGAGGCGGATGTCAGCCCAGCCAGCTTGCACCTCCCGGAATATCAAGGGGGCCACATTGCTCCAGTATTGGAAGGCTTGAAGCAGGGCTGCCCGGGCTGTGCGGGATGGGAGGGTAGAGGGCAGGTTCAAGATGCGGAAAGTCAGTTGCTTCTTTCTCCAGCGGCCTGGTTAATAGACCAGAAAATAGATTAGAAACTCAGATCCTTCTTCCAACACCAGCAAGCTTCCCTAAGTCTGGGCACTCATTATCCCTCCAGGCAGGTGATAATTAACAGATTATCCATTTATCCATTCAACACTGAGCTGGTCCAAGCAGACTAGAGCCACACCACCCTCTCCTCTCCCATTCCCAGCCTCTGTCCTCACCTAGCAGCAGGTATTTAAGAGTCTTCTGGTTGAAGGGATCCTCTAGGCCACAACGAGGCTGCCTCATGCGGGCCCTTGTGGCATCATCCAGATGACCTGAGACTGGCAGCTCAGATGCTTCCTGAAAAGCTCTGAAAGAAGGAGAGAGATGGATTCACCAGGGCAGGGGAATCTGGAATGACTGGGAACTAGAGATAGCTCTTTGGCTTCCTGCTGTCCAAGGTGGTGGCCAAGAGTGGCACAGAATCTCTAAAGCTAATGGGATCACTCCAGCCCTAAGTCCTCGTAATTGGGACTTTCTCTTCCATTCTGCAGAAACGGCAATACTCTCTCTTCACTGCACCATTTTCAGTCTCTTTTATTTGAGCAAGGTTGCCCTCAGCTATAGCCTTCCTTCCCTACTATAATTTCTAGCCTTTTGCTTTTAGGAGGTATCTGGACCTCTGCTCTGCAGATCTTCCCACCAGCGATCCCACCTGATGGCCTGTCCTTCCTCAGCCTTCTCTCCTATGACTGGACTTTTCCCAGTCCAGCCTGCTCGGGGGCAATTTCATCCACCTATGGACTATCTTTAGGCCTATGGGCTTTTCAAGAGACCTGAACATATCTGAGAGCAAAAAGAAAAACAATCTATTATGTCCAAAATATAAAATAAAACTACAAAAATAGGAATAAATAAATACTGAATTAATGTCTTCATATGTAACATCATGTCAGCAACTCAACTGGCAGTTTATGCATACAAATTATACTTCATGTGGGCTATCACTAAATATTAGTGTTTGGAGTATGATGTGGGATGGCGCACAGAAAGACATGCTTAAGGCCTAGGAATGTCCAATAACCATGCTCCTCATCTGTGAGTTCTCATCACAGCTCATGCCCCTACCACCCTAGCAATGGCAGCCACCCATCCTCTAGATCCCGGATGTGGAATTGGGTCAGGCAGAGGTAAAGTGGGGGAGAAGAAGGGATGAGAAGAGGGAGGAAGACCTTGTGACCTCAGTCCTGAAGGCAAGCATCTTTATGACCTCTCACCTCAGAGCTTCAGTGATATCTTCTGGCCTGAAGTTATCAGGTCCTTCTAGAGGCTTCTGTAGGTACCCATATTGCAACAGGTACTCCTATGATGGGGGCAGAAATAAACAGGTTAAAACGAGGGTTAATCTCAGGGTAAAGCTTCTTAATAACCTAACAGGCCCATTAGGAGAGGAAGGACTGGGTCTGGAGGGACTAAGGAAAAGCATTTTAGAAAAGAGGGTCAAGGAAGCAGCAGGAGATGGGCAGGGTAGACCATGGGGCAGAAGGAGCAAGGGAATGGACTGTAGGCAAAAGCCCAGGAGGGGGCTTGGATGGGACTGTGGAGCAGCAGCCCTTGTCCCTCCCTTGGCCTGGGTCTCTCTTTTCCAGGGGACTCACCAAGGCTGCCTCCTTCTCTGCAGGCCCCAGGGTCCGGCCTGACACTGTCATGGGGAGTAGGAAGCCCAGCCACAGTTGCCACCAGTCCATGGTTCCACCAAACAAGAGCTCCAGAGGCTGTATGTGCCCTCTGACCTGGGATTTCTGGGAGTCTGAGGGAGCAGGGATAGGCAGCTGAGGGGGTTTTAACCTCCAGTTCTTTTTACTTCCCAGCCTCTGGTCCTCTTTTAAAAACTTGAACTAAGGGAAATTGGTGGGGGAGGGGAGTGGCAGTGGGAGATGATTCAGCTTAAAGATATGTTGCAATCACCCTTAACCCCTGCCCTCCCAGAGAGTGGAAGAGGAGAACCCCTAATTCCTTTCCCCACTGTCCTCTGCTGGAGATGGGAAGTTGTTTTTTGGTTTTTATGGTTTTGTTTTGTATTTTTGAGACAGAGTCTCATTATATTGCCCTCAGTAGAGCACTATGGCTTCACAGCTCACAGCAACCTCCAATTCTTGGGCTTAGGAGATTCTCTTGCCTCAGCCTCCCAAGTAGCTGGGACTACAGGCGCCCGCCTCAACACCAGCTATTTTTTTGTTGTAGTTGTCATTGTTGTTTAGCAGGCCCAGGCCAGGTTCCAACCCACCAACTCCAGTGTATATGGCTGGCCCCCCAGCCACTGAGCTACGGATGCCCAGACAGGAAGATTTTTTTTTTGCAGTTTTTGGCTGGGGCTGGGTTTGAACCCACCACCTCCGGCATATGGGGCCAGCACCCTACTCCTGAGCCACAGGTGCCACCCAGGAAGATGTTTTATACTGCCCCTGGGGTGAGCACCCTGCCAGTGTGAGAAACAGAATCTCTGGAGAGCTATCCCCTAGAGTTGGATGTTCCTGTGCTGCAGGGTCCCTGGGTCAGCAAATCCCTCAGCTTCAACCTTCAAGTATCCCTGTCTGCTCTGGGACAGGAAAAAAAATACAATCTAAGAGGTAGGAGACAGCTAAGGTAGCTTGAGTTTCAGGTGAAGGAATCAAGGGTGAGTTTTCAGTTTATTTAGGAAACTTAAATGCTCTTTCAGAGGCTATTTATGTCTGCTTTAATAAAAAGCTATCTCAAGCATTTAAAGAGCCCAGAAGGCATGAGTGGAGGTGAGATTTAATAAGAGCACTAAATAAATAACAGCACAAAGAAATAAAGGGGCCAGAGCCTGCCCTCAGAGAGCTTACAGCCCATGGAAGGCAGACTCAAACACCAGGAGAGCCAGGAGCCAGGCAGGAAGCAACCTACCCTAGAGATCCCAGGGGCTGGAGGAAGGTTTACTGAGAAGGCAGGTTTTGAACAGGGCTTTGAAGGCTGGCTAAGAATCAGATGGGGCAGGACTGCTCAGAGACAGAAACAGGTAGGTCTTGAGTAGAACTGCAGAGCTGAGAGCCTGCTGCACCCCGCCAACAAACCTGAACATGAGTACTTCTTGGTTTACCACTGAAGTCCTAGTGCCTACCCCAGGCCGGTTCCATGCTTTCACAGAGTGCTTAATAGATCTTCATGAAAGCAATGACCCAGGTGGGAGAGTGGTTGGGAGCCACAGTTTAGAGAGAGCTATGTAAGGGAGAGAACTTACCTTTAAAAATACCTACTATGGGGTGGCACCTGTGGCTCAGTGAGTAGGGCACTGGCCCCATATACCGAGGGTGGCAGGTTTGAACCCAGCCCCAGCCAAAGTGCAGCAAAAAATAGCCCGTAGTCCCAGCTACTCGGGAGGCTAAGGCAAAAGAATCGCCTAAGCCCAAGAGCTGGACATTGTTGTGAGCTGTGACGCCATGGCACTCTATTGAGGGGGACAAAGTGAGACTCTGTCTCTAAAACAAACCAAAAAAAAACCCTACTATGTGCTAAATAGTAGGTTTATCTATTATGTCATTTAATTCTCACGGCCATCCTGTCTAGAGGGATTATTCTGGCCATTTTTTAACGAGAGGAAATAGAGACTCACAGAAGGAAACTAGAGACTCTGTCTCTAAAACAAACAAACAAAAAACCTACTATGTGCTATTTATGCACATAGTGTGCTTTATATATTATGTCATTTAATTCCCACAGCCATCCTGTCTAGAGGGATTATTCTGGCCATTTTTTAACAAGAGGAAATAGAGACTCACAGAGGGAAACTTGAGAACATGAAGTTCCTCCCTAGCATGGCCTCTATTCAAACACCTGTATTGACTCCATAACTCGCGCTCTTTCCATAACCCACACAGACCCTCACAGCTTTGTTCTTTCAGTAGTTAGGAGACACTGAAGGTCCCACAATCATGTTCTCATCATCAAATGCAGGGTAAAGTAGGTACAGGAATGGAGGAAAGGCTTACTGTGCTATGTTCTTGTAGGACCCCAGTTCTGAGTCTTTTCCCACACCCTAGGCTGAAAGGTCACAGGGAATCCCTTCACAGCCCAGGATCAAGGAGGGACACCCTTGACTCATTGCTGCCCTCAGTAGTGCTGATCATTCTGACCCACCCAGCCAACTGGGTAACAATTAGGTGACTAAGTCCCAGATGACTGGTGACAGACAAGGAAGGACAGAGAGCCCCTGAGCAATGAGTGATCCAGGTCATCATCAAGGCTGGTGTACCCAGGAAATGGTGAAGGAGGGGCCAGCTCCAGCTCAGCCTCCTATAGCTCTTTCTCAACACTTCTCTCCTTCCCTCTACCCTGTAGTCCCCCTTCTTTTGAGAATAGGACATGAACCAATTGAAAATTATAATTGTTTTCTGACTAATGTTTTCTGCCTTTTATTCTGTTTAAAGGTTATCCATCATTCATTGTAGTAAATTTAAAAAATATCAAAATAAACAAAAGAGAAAATGAAAACCACCAATAAATTCTACCCAAAGGAGAACCACTAGTAACATTTTGGTGCATTGACTTGAAACTGTCTGTGGACCTGAGTTCGCTGCAGCTCTGCCTGCCTAGCCTCAGCCCCTGGAGGCAATGTTTGGGAGGGAGGAGAAAGGAATAGGAACCAGTGAGGACCATGGGGCAGGGGCAGGAGGGGAGTGCAAGGGAAAAGAATAAAGTAAGATGACTGTGATAGCAAATTACTCTCTCCCCTTAGAAACCTCATGTAAACAAACAACAAACAAAAGTGTATGTTAGTGTGTCAGTAAGAGGAATGGTGGTGATCACAAGGTGAGAGGTTGGCGCCCACTCTGGCCTGAAGGCCTGGAGAATGGAACACATTCTAGCAACCAAGGAGCCAGGGGAGGAGAAAGTACTATAATAAAAGCTGCCAATAGTTTCCCTCATTTACCTAATTTAAATCTTTTTTTTTGTTTTTTGTTTTTTGTTTTTTTTTTTTTGAGACAGAGCCTCAAGCTGTCCCCCTGGGTAGAGTGCCGTGGCATTACAGCTCACAGCAACCTCCAACTCCTGGGCTCAAGCGAGTCTCCTGCCTCAGCCTTCCAAGTAGCTGGGACCACAGGCGCCCGCCACAACGCCTGGCTATTTTTTGGTTGCAGCCGTCATTGTTGTTTGGCGGGTCCGGGCTGGGGATTCGAACCTGCCACCTTAGGTGTACGTGGCTGGCGCCTTAGCTGGTTGAGCTATAGGCACCGAGCCCTAATTTAAATCTTAACAACTCCTTGAGCCTGGATTATCACCTGTGTATACAAAAGTAAACCAAGTCACTAATAGGTTACTTCAAGTCACACAGCTAGGAAGCAGCAGAGCTCAGGCTCTAAAGCTGAGATCTTTGCACTGCACTCTTTAGCCTCCCCAGAGTTCCCCCAGGGACCCAAACCAAACCCCCTAGAGCCCATAGCTGCAGGCCAGGCCTGGCCTGTGTGCAAGGACTATATGACTAATTGTCCCCATGACAGCATCACAACCACCCCTTCTGCCAGCCTCTACCCTTGAGCCAGGCTGACCCAGCTCATTTTCCCTCTGAATCTGTCATCTCACTGGGAGAAATGTGGGAATGTGTGAGAGGAATTAGGATACATGGCTGGTCTGTCCCCCATAGAGAGCAAAAGTTTGTAGAGGTTTCTAAGCACACGAGAAACCAAACTCTAAACCATCGCCTGCCCCTTGGGACAGCTGCCGTTACCCTGTGGGGGGGTAGGGAAGGTAGGGAAAGAGGTCTGGGGAGGTCTAGAGCAGGCGTCCTCAAACTATGGCCCGCGGGCCACATGTAGCCTGCCTAGGATGTTTATCTAGCTTGCCGGGTGTTTTTGCCACCACTACCTGTCCTGCTTAGCAGCCGACTCGTTCCGGGGCCCACTGTCCGGCCCTCCAACAGTCTGAGGGACAGTGAACTGGCCCCCTGTTTAAAAAGTTTGAGGACCCCTGGTCTAGAGGATTAGACATCTCCTATGCCTGAAGCTGGAAACTGGAGGTGAGAAAAATGTGAGTTGTAACTAAATTAGTCCCAAATCCTTTCCTCGATCTAGACATGTGGGAGGGGATGATGCTAGCCTCTGGCCTGTTTTCCCCTCAGAACCCCAGGGAGTCAGAAGACAGATTTCCATGACTGAGTGGGGTTGAGTTCGCCAAGCTGTTACCCTGGAAACCACTGTTTCTGAAGGACTCCCCCCCATGCACACACATACACACACTCTTATAATTAGTCATAAGTTCCAAGAAGCCATATGGGAAGTGATGGCCAGGACTGCACAGCTGAAACTGGTTAGTGACCAGGAAAGGGTTTGGGGAGGGTTCAGGGACTGTGCCAGAACATTCTGTTCCCACGATGCCCCAGACTTTCTCAACCCCCAACATGAGCACTTCCTGGCACTCCCACCCACCCACGGCAGCTTGCACACAAACCCACTCAGGCACTGGCCTGCATCAGCTCAGTCAAGAGGACATCAGACCCAATCCAGAAGTTCTTCATCCTGACAAACTATGAGGGAGACCAAGATGTGCTCCCTTCAGAAAGAGGTGCTGGCTCAGCGCCTGTAGCTCAAGCAGCTAAGGCGCCAGCCACATACACCTAAGGTGGTAGGTTTGAATCCCCAGCCCGGGCCCGCCAAACAACAATGATGGCTGCAACCAAAAAATGGCCGGGCGTTGTGGTGGGCTAAGGCGCCAGCCACATACACCCAAGGTGGCAGGTTTGAACCCCCAGCCCGGGCCCGCCAAACAACAATGATGGCTGCAACCAAAAAACGGCCAGGCGTTGTGGTGGATGCCTGTG